ATATATATATATATATATATATATATATATATGGGTAATTTTAGCCAGATAGGAGCCAGCTATGTTTGCTTGCGTTTCCTTTTTAATAACTTCTTGTCGTTGCTGTGTGCCTTCGAGCCATTTCCGACTTGGGACGACCCTATCACGGGGGTTTTCTTGGCAGAATTTTTTTAAAAATAAAAGTTGAATAACTCCCTTATAGGATGATGTGCCTCGATTGCCCGATTTCATTAACCAAAGCTGATCTCTCTCGCAGACTTTCTCGGTTTCTCAGTGCAGCTTCCGACCTGGGTGAGCTATAGTTCAGCTGCTGTAGGGCCGCCTCTTGCTTTTATTCCCCCACCACCATCATCGCAAAAGGCATGGAAATGTTGGATATGGACATCAATAGACAGAGAAGGTGAAGAGGGGCAGATAATGGGGGCTGGGATCGGTGGTTGTTATCATCTGCATTTAGCATTTAGGGTTGCTTCTGTTATAATCTTCATATAGGGTTCCTTCTGTCATAATCATCATTTAGGGTTCCTTCTGTTATAATCTGCATTTAGGGTTCTTTCTGTTATAATCTGCATTTAGGGTTCTTTCTGTTATAATCTTCAAATAGGGTTCCTTCTGTTATAATCTGCACATAGGGTTCCTTCTGTCATAATCAGCATTTAGGGTTCCTTCTGTTATAATCAGCATTTAGGGCTCCTTGTGTCATAATCAGCATTTAGGGTTGCTTCTGTTATAATCTTCATATAGGGTTCCTTCTGTCATAATCATCATTTAGGGTTCCTTCTGTTATAATCTGCATTTAGGGTTCCTTCTGTCATAATCTACATGTAGGGTTCTTTCTGTTATAATCTTCATATAGGGTTCCTTCTGCTATAATCTGCATTTAGGGTTCCTTCTGTTATAATCTGCACATAGAGTTCCTTCTGTCATAATCAGCATTTAGGGTTCCTTCTGTTATAATCTGCATTTAGGGCTCCTTCTGTCATAAAGTGCATTTAGGGTTCCTTCTGTTATAATCTGCATTCCTTTATGGTCCTTGCTTTGTTTGTTTGCTCTTTAGCAACCCAGGGGCCATAAACAGACCCCAATAAAGAGCGAAGAAGCCAATGGCTTGCGTTTTAATTGGCGTTTGGACTCTTTTTTTGGGGGGGGGGGTTTCTGTTTGT